ACGTGTTGTAGGAACACACGTGACGTCTAGGGATGTTACGCAGGTCGACAAGTGAATTCAAGTTCGAACCCGATCCTTCTATATGGATAAATAGAAGTCGACAGGGTTCGAACCAACAAACAAGTATACGTTCGCGACGGCTGGTATATTTGTTTTATTGCATTCATATTAGGCCGTCAAGGCCTATAACAATAAGAATTCACCAAACAAAGGCACGAAGCCTACAAGAAACCCGATCCTCGATCAACAGTTTGGTCGAGTCGACAGGGTTCAGTCAACAAAAGGAAAATGACCCCATGTATACCCCGATGATGGCTGTGTTGAACGCTAATCTCAACCAGAGGGGTTCACAAATATTTTTAAATGCCTCCCAAAAGTGCACTCAAAATCCATAACTTCACAAAATCCATAACTCAACAAATCCCAAATTCCATATATTTAAAATCAAAATTCAATCCATCAATCACTCAAACCAAAATCCATCCATCATCCGCAACAGTTTACCGAGGTGAACAAATTCAAATAAAACTTCAGCTCACAAAGAGCTAATGCCTAGTCGAAAATATCATTATGATCCATTCTCAAACAATCTCCTGCGAGTAAGGACGTGGTACGCGTCCTCTATTCGACGGTTTTGCCACCAAATGGCACCGCAGGATAAACGGTTATGACCCGGAGTCCTCTGAACCAAGTGATTTTGCCGCCAAATGGCACCACAATATACTGATTATGGCTGGAGCCGATACGCCCCTTAATGATATCAAATCCTTGAGATATGAATCAATAGGATATGATTGATAAGGCACAAAGTCCTATGTTAGCTAAGGTGGATTTAAATTTGTCCCCTTAGACAAATATTCCCCTCAGGTCTACGAGGTCCCCTTGGACGAGGCAACCCATGGCTGCCGACAAGGATCCTTCTATCAGGTTGGGTCGACTATCTCATCTGACTAAGTAGACCAGTGACCATGATTGTGACGCCCCAGACATCCATAGTGAAAGGATTCGTCTGACATTCTGATCGAACTCCATTCCAGTTGTCTTGCTCGGACCTGAAATTGTCAACCACATATAATGAGCTTAAATAGCCCAGCAGGTCACCAAAGCCTACAACTGAAATCAAAGCACGATACTGCTATCAATATGCATGTCAGTCAATCAAATCCATAACAGTCAATGGTTAATGAGTCTATACAGCGGAAATCAAATCAGTAGTCAATGCAGTACGGAAATCAATAGTCAATGCAATCAATAGTCGATGAAATCAATAGTCGATCCGATAAATCAAACTCAATCAATACACGTCAATCCCGAAAAAGTCCGTACTCAGAAGAAAGTCAATCAATCCGTCAAATCAGTCGATATCGAATCAATCAATCAAATCAAATCAATGCTATCTAGTCAATAAAATCAATCGGAAAAGCAATACAATAAATCTCAATCTACCATATCAATAAATCAAATGCAACAAGTCAATACAATGCAGAATCAATAGTATCAATGAGTCTATAAGCAGTATCAATAAATCTATAATATCCATATCCATAGCATCAATGAATCAATACGATATCTATAGCCATCCATATCCATATCAGTGCTCAGTATTCAATAGTATCAATGCTCGGCAATCAATCGATGAAAATCAATAAAAATCATACATACAGTAAATCCGATCAAAATCAATAAAGAGAAATCATAAACCAATAAATTTCCCGTAATGTCAATACAATAAACAGCATTTCAATACAATAATACTGAACAAGTACAAAACAACTCGCTATGTTGCTGTTGTAAATCCATATTGCTGTTGTAAGATATCCATACGTTGGTTTCTATAAAAAGAGTCGTCACTCTATGCCCGTCGCCGCCCGTCGGCATATCTAAAACCCCTTATGATCTCATCCAATTGTTGTTGTAAATCCAATATTTAAAGGAAAGCCCGTCAGCCCACCATCCTTGTACAAGGTCAAGTCAATTCTCCAACCAACGTTCAATCAGGTTCCACTTGTGTTCCAGTATCATAATAAAATCAATAATCAATTCAATAAATCAATATAAGAACAATGTAGAGCAATCACTATCAATATTCACATTCAAGCAAGTGCAATCTATCAATTCAGACAAATCAGAAATCATACGAAAATCAGGTAATCTTACACAAAAAATCCTACAAAATCACAATTCATCAAATTACAAATAGAATGTTCACGAACAACAATATAAACTATTTATTCTACTGAATCCACATCAAATAACATCCTGATATTTTTCGTATTCAATTAAAATCGAGTAAATCAATTCCGACCGGATAAAAATCATCGTAGAAAATACCTCAAATCTGTACAATATCATATTTTCATAACATTCTAAAAAGTTGTGCGGTTGAAAGTTGTTCAATAGAAATTTAGGTCCAAAATTCAACTACGAAAACACAAAGACAGATCACCAACCCAACGAATCAAAACTCAATATCTCTGAAAAAGCAGAATAGGATTCGAGTCCTTATCCGAGCATCTACACTTTCCCAACAGCGCGTCGGACGAAAAAACGCCTCCGCGGCCTCCGGAATCCGGCTTTCCTTCTCTTTTCCTTTCTCTTCTCTCTCTTTCAAAATCAGATAATTTTATAAAAATGATTTTATCTCTCCTCAAACGGCTGATTGCTTTATAACATTAGTCTTGAATCGTCCTGGCGATCGCGACATTTCCGTTCAGACGATATGACCAATTTCCAATCGTACTGGACGATACAGGACGATAATTAATTTGCCAAAACCCCTTGCTCTCGGGATTTTGCCATACACTGATCGTCCCAGGACGATCCAAAATCGTCCTGGACGATCCAGTCCAGAAATCATTCCAGAAAACACTCCAGAAATCAGCTGTTTTCAATGCACTGATCGTCCTGGACGATCTCAACATCGTCCTGGACGATCCTGGGAGGAAAATCCAATTCAGAGGAACAGTAAGGGAACGAGGTCTCACAATGATGGCCCGAGATGACGAAACCATGGGATCTTGATCGGGTCCATCATCCATTCCCCCACCAACCGCTTTAAGTGTAAGATGGTGTAATTTCTATAAATATCAAATCTTTCAATCCTTCAAACTTTCAATCCAAAACCCACGCTGCTACTATATGCTAGATGTGTATTCTCTACGTATCTGATAGACGACTAGTCTTAATCGAAAGTTCTCTCTCGTTATCGGGAGTGGTAATTAAAGTCCTCACAAAATGAGGGCGAAATATCTGGGCAGTGTCTTATCTACAAACACATCTGCCTTCCCAAAATTTACCCCGGAACTTATTCCGTTAAAACTCTCTCGTCAAAAGTAAAAAACACAATATGCACAGCGGGCGGAGGCCGGGGCCGAATTTTTGGAGCCCACAATTACTCATATTAAATTTTAATTAATTTTTTTTAACTTTTCTTTACCCCTTCTCCACTATTCATTGCTCTTCGACTTTGCCTCCGCGTGATGGGTAGAGATTTGAACGAATAGCTAAATAACTTCTTCACCTCCTTCGACGACGTTCCTTCCTGTCATATCCAAAATTACAATTTGTCGTTTGTCTATTAGTTTAGGATTAACAATGATGACAGGAGCTTGCTCGTTGTGAAGGTTGCAATCGTTCTTCCGTTTGCACGCTTCTTAGACCAAATCGATTGCAATTGGAAGTAACGACGCCGATGGGAGCTTGCTCGTTACAAAGGTAACCATCTTTCTTCAATTCGAGCACTTCTTCTTTGCTTGTTATGATACTACCCTCCTGTCCATCTCACTTTTCTTTTTAAAATTGATGCAAGACCAAAATACTCCCATTTGGAGTTGAGGGACCAAATTGGTTTCTCAAAATAGTTTGGGACTATTTTGATCTCTCACAAAGAATTAAGGGATCATTTTAATCCTTTTCTCTAAGTAAAATGCACAAGGAGAAGAGGTAGATAAAAGTCTCTTTGATTAGTATTGAGCAAACACTTGTACAACTGAATTTAAAACCATAGACAACACTCAATAAAAATGAATTAAAAAGAATAATTCATAGAACGAAGCCCAATGATGATCCAATCTTCATCAACATCCACCATGTCTATAGAACTAATAAATGCTTACCTTTATTGATGTGTATGCTCTTCTTTCTTAGCTGGTAAATAATTTTTGAGACTTTATTTTTTTGTGAGCAAACGATTCATTGTCCCCATTATAGAGATACGTAATGGCCCTAAAATTAAGAAAAAAAAAGTTTTCTCATGGCAGTTCTCCCCTCTCCTAACCTCCCCATTTCCTTATTCCACAACATAGCACCTCATTAAAGAGGTATATAAAGATAAGTTCTCATCATCGACAACTACTACTTCACAAGTATACCACTGGTCCAAAAATTCATGATCATCATTCCTCTAGTAAAATTATGAAACGGCTGAAAATTTCAGCCAGTAATAGTAAACCATTTAGATGGACACATTGGTTCAGGTTTAGCTAAAAATTTGAGATCAATCTCCAAATTAACAAGCTGAACTTTTAGATGGCGTTTCTATTCTAGCAATTCTTAGGCCACTTAGCCTTCTCAGCTTGAGATTGAATCTAGTTCATATTTATTCTCAGAAGTGAAAGAATGTGATTTCCTGGTTTATTAGCTGGAAAATACAATCCCACTCATCAGCGAAAGAAAAGTTAAACATTTTGCTTGAATATTTGAGAAATTTTAATTTTGCTCATTAATATCAAGCCAGCTGAAAATATAGATGAGATGGCTACAAACTATTCCTCACCTACCTTTCGCTATTTCGATCCCATCACAAATAGCAAGCCATGTTTAATCAGATTGCGCTGAGATTGTTCTCAGCCAAGGTTTGGCTTATCTGTTCCAAATGGCCCAAATATATTCCTAATCTTGCGTTGATATCTACAATAGTATCTTGCTGGAAGACCAAAAATGCAATTCAAGAATCTCACAATATTTGAAAATATGAAGAACAAAATGTGAAACAACATTACCGTTCTCTAACGGACCCGCAAAATCTATAATAATCTGGAAATCCTTGCAACCTTGCAGTCTCTCGAATAGTTAGAACTCTGTCTTGCTCAGGATGTAGCACAATCTGGAAACAAGACAATTGGAGTTGATGCCTAGTTCCTTGAAAAGATGAATCTAAAAAACTACATAAAGAATGACGAGAAAAATACCTGGCAATGGCTGTCAGGAACTGTTAACACAGTTGACACTGCATCATCCCACCACAATCGAGCAAAAGATCTGCATAAGGAAATGTTAATAACTGGCTGAGAATCTCACCAGTGAAATGTGAAACAATTCAAGGATGAAAATATTTAAAAGGGCTAAAATAACCTTAATGACTTTCCATTCGAATAGTTGATAGCATAATTTGGTACCTGAGAAAAGTTACAGGCCAATTATGGATTAGTAAATCAATGCATATATAATAATTATTTTGTTCCTTCTAAATAATGTGAGGAGAGCATCTTTGTAATCGCTTTATTATCCTTTGATAGAGCAATGATTCTCATATTTCTTATGATGCGGACATCCGACGGTGGTTGTTAATCAAAGGAAGAGACGGAGATCAACAACGTCCGAGATCTCTCCATTTTTATGTTAATTTATTAATTGTATTTTTTTATTTAATTATGCATTTTTCATTTTTACCCTTAAAAGTCTTGTCCTATATAAGCCCAATGGACAAAGTTGTCTTTTAGTTTCATTTAAGACCTATATATAGAGGACCTTGCTATTGTATGGGTATGGAGTTTTAATATTAATTTTGTTATGCACTTTTGTTCCTTGGGAGGACTTAAGTGAGATCCCTATGGGAGGGAATCATATTTTCCACTAACCGCAGGATGGGTTCGGGCTCGTGGCTTGAAGTCTCTTGGTGAAGGGCAATGTATCACCCGTCAGCCGCAGGAAGCATCCGAGCTCACGATTTTATCTTTCTTTCCCTGAACTCCTATTCTCCTTCTCCCTTGACTGCCGGACATACCCCTCCATAGCCGCCGACCAAGCTTCCCTCTTCCCTCCTCCCACTCTATAAACCGAACACCACCACCCCTTCTTTCTCCTCCACTCGTCGGCCATAAGTCCCACCACCGGCCTCAAGGATCCTTTCTTCCCTACCAAAACCTGCCAAAACCTTCCTTTTCCTCCTAGCCGCCACTATCAAACCCTAGTCCTCACTTGACCGTCGGGCATAGTGTCTCTCTTTGACTTCAAATCTTCAAATCCCAAATTAATTCCTTTCCATATGCGGTGTATTTCAATTTGGACAAATTTCAAATTCAAATTTCAATTTTGATTAAATTGAGAGTTTTACCTAAATGAATTATTTGTTAATTTAGAAAGTTATTCAATTTGAATTCAAATAAATTTTGAATTTCAAAAACTTTCATGTTTAATAAGTTCTACTTTAGGAAACCCCTCCAATTACTCCCAATCTGAATTAAGTTTCAGATTTAATTATCAAACTCAATTAATGCTTGATTCACATTCATTGAACCTAGACACCTCCTCCTACCCTCTCTCTTGGCCAGCCCCCCTCTCTCCCCTATTTTCATTATTTCCTTCCTTATTAAGGAATCCAATTTGGGGAATAATTAATCACTTCTTATCATTCCCTTCATCTTATTTGAATTTCAAATTCAAATCCCTTAATTAAGGGATATATGAAATTAAATTTCATATTTTTAATTTTTATTTTCCACCATCCCCCACCGTTCTACATCATCTTTTCCTTTCTGCAAATTCCATAGATCACCCCTTATAATTCTGTTAAAAAGGGATATGCTTCAGGTGTGATGAGAGATTCACACCCGGGCATAGGTGCAATTGGGCCCTTCAAGTCTTGATGGTCTATGAAGGGGAAGAGGAGAGCAAGAACAAACTAGAGGTTGTGGAGGAGGCGGAGCAATTACATTTAGATGTGGCAGAGGTGTCTCTGAACGCCGTGGTAAAATTTACCCCAAATCACACCATGAAGATAAGGGGCCAAAATGGGGAGCAACTAGTGGTGGTTTTGGTGGATAGTGGATCCACTCATAACTTCATCTCCAACTAAGTCGTGAACCTGTTAGGATTGAAGCTAGTGGATGTAGGGAGTTTTGGCTTCATGATGGGAACAGGAAAGGTAGAGAGGAGTAAGGGAATTTGCAGGGGGTTACTGCTAGCGCTCCCAGGCTTACAGATAGTGGAGGATTTTCTTACCTTGGAATTAGAAAGCACTAATGTCATCCTTGAGATGAAATGGTTACAGGTCATTGGAGAGACCAAGATGGACTGGAAGTCTTTGACTATAGAGGTGTAGGTGGGAGGGAAGAAGGTGGTGCTATGAGGGGATGCCAGCTTATACAGGACCATGGCCTCACTCAAAATCATGGTCAAGGTGATACAGGGAAAATGACAGGGCTATTTGGTAGAGCTGTAGAGTTTGGAGGCAGTCCAAGAGTCTAAGACAGACTAGATCCTTGAGTGTGCACATTAGATGCTACAATAGTTTCCGAAGGTCTTTCAGCAACCCAACGAATTACCACCACCACCATTAAGTTGAAACAGGAGAGCGAACAGGATGAGGGACTTAGGAAGATCAAAGATGAGTTGTTGCAGAACCCGAATAGTTAGCCTAGCTATATGCTGAGGGGAGCCCAGCTGCTATATCAGAGATGATTTGTTCTATCGAAGGGATCAGGATACATTCCCAAGCTACTACGGGAGTTTCATGGTAGTGCAGTGGGAGGGCATTCAGGAGCGCAGAAAACCTACAATCAATTAGCAGCTGAATTATATTAGGTGGGATGCGCCGTGATGTAGAGGATTGGGTAGCAAAATGCAATGTGAGCCAAAGTCATAAGTACCTAGCCATGTCAAAAGCAGGGTTACTACAGCCACTAGCCCTAACGAAGAGGGTATGGGAGTAGGTGACGATGGACTTCATTGAAGGATTACCACGAGCCGAGGGGTTTTTGAAGATACTAGAAGAAGTGGATCGTTTGAGCAAATATGCACACTTCATTTCCTTGAGGCACCCTTATACGACCATTGTTATGGCTATTGTTTTCATAAAGGAAGTGGTGCGCCTGCATGGAGTTCCAAAAGCTATTGTGACAAACAAGGACAAGGTGTTCCTTGGAAACTTTTAGAGAGAGTTGTTTCAGTTACAGGGGCAATTCTAAAGAGAAGTACAACATATCACTCCCAAATAGATGGCCAGGCAGAAGTGATAAACAGAAGCATAAAGACCTTTTTGATATGTTTTGCATCTGACATGCCAAAGAGTTGGGCAAGGTGGCTTGCTTGGGCAGATTATTGGTACAATACCTGGTACCATTCAGCAGCAAAGACCAATTCTTTCAGGATTCTCTATGGGAGAGATCCACCCCATCTGATTTATTATGGGAAGAGCAGCACACTTGTGTCCAATGTAGAGCAGTACTTAGAGGAGAGGGATAGCGTATTATATGAGCTCAGGGCACATTTGTTGGGAGTTGAATAGATCATGAAGAGGAGGCTAATGAACATAGGAGAGAAGTAAACTTTTAGCCCAGAGATATGGTTTACTTAAAATTGAGGCCCTACAGGAAGAAAACACTAGCTAGGAGGAATGAGAAGTTATTCCCATAATACATTGGGCCTTGTGAGATATTGGAACGCATTGGAGCTGTAACCTATCGCTTAAAACTATCACCCTCATTAGCTTTGCAACCAGTCTTTCATGTCTCACAGTTGAGAAAGACGATAAGAAAGCAAATACCATCATTGTTAATTTCGACATTAACAGAGGACATGGAGGCCATTTTGAAACCTCTGGAAATAACGGTGGTGTGCAAAGGGGAGGCTGAGGCACGGGAGGTGCTAATCATGTGGAAGGATGTGCCAGAGCATGACGCCGCATTGGAGCCATATGAGACAATCAGAAGACAGTTTATGACCTTTCACCATGAGGACAAGGTAGATTTTGAGGAGGGGAGTATTGTTATAGGGGAAAACACATCAGGTTCAACCCCCCATGTGGAGCCCAACAAAGATTTAATTAAATATACTAAGAGAGGAAATAAGGAGGAAAATAAGAAAGGAAATGATTCTAATTTTAAAATAGAGAAAGAGAGGGAAATTAATTAAGGAAGAGGGTTGTTTTTGGAAGGAATTAAGGAGTTTATTTAGGGCTGATTATAGGGTTTATTTTTCATGTTTTGTTTGGAGAGTTTGTTGTAATTTTTTTCTGGAGTTTTCTTGAGGGCTTCTTAGCATCATCTAGGTCAAGTGAAAGAAACGATCTACCTCTCTAATAGTATATCATTGTATCTTGTTATGGTGTTGAAGTTTTAACACAAAAAATTAGCAGTTGATTCTCAATTTCTGGTATTTTTATTGTCTTTTCTTGTTGATTTCGTCTTCAAGGCATATCAGACAACAACCTGATATGTAATACTTAAGTGTATGTCTACATGTATACATGCATATAAATAAACATGACTGAAATTTGTATCAGTGTATTAGTGTATTAGTGTATAAGTAAGCATAGCTATATAATTCATATTTCATGTTTTAACAAAATTGCATGTGATGGCGTATGTAACATACTCACATCTCACAAAAAATAGTGTGCACAATGGTTGCATGAACCATGATGTAGGCTAATAATTATCATCACATAAGATTCCAAGAGTAAATGCCACACATATAATAATTTGCTACATAATTAAATATGCATATCTAACCTCATTAACTCATAGAGTGACCTAGTCAAACCCCCCCATGCCTTCTTGCGTGCATAGAACACCTATTAATCCAAATCATTAATTGATAATATCCTCTGATAGCCATTCAACTCATACAATTAAATTGGTTCTCAATCATACCTTCTAGTTTTCATGTTACATATTGTTGAGATATTTGCTACTTAGTTTTGCAAGTTAAATATTTTTGCAACTTGTATGTTTTTTATGATTACAAATATTATTGATTTGATTATTATTTATCCTAACATATTTTGGAAGAATTGTTTTTGCTCTTGTATGTACTAACATTTCACGGAAATCATACTTCGGATTATTGAAGACTTCAAATCAAAGATCAGTTTAGAGTTTATTGTTATTAAAGTCTGTATTTTTCATTTTACTGAGTCTGAGAGTGTGATTGTAATTGAGTGACTGAGCACACACACACCGGGTGAGAGTTTTAAAATTCATATTTTTAAACTGATCGTATTGTACAATATCACTTCGTACGGGACGATCTACAGTTATTTCTCCCGACGGGCAGTTGAACGAACAGAAATGAAAATATTTTTTCTAAGTATGAATCATACGGGACGATGTTATCGTTTGTACAAGGACGAAGGGCTCTGTTTTGTCCTCAAACGAATATCGTATGGACGATATTA